AACAAATCCAATATTTATCATAATAATTGCTTTCTCCTGTGAAAAAGATGTATTGTCTGAATTGGAAAGAAATATGCACAACTGGGGATGGACATTTTCACTGGAGGAAGCATTATTATAGATCACGGACTATTTTGGCTAGAAGCGACAGTTTAAAGTTGAAATGCTTTAATGATAGATTTGTTTCTTACAAAGCTTTTCACTTTAACCTTTCATTATCAGGAAATGTATACAATCTCTATCACCTAGGTTATGCTCAGATCAGAAAGCCTCCATCAGCTACAACAAATGGACAAAGTCGTAGAAAATCATGGAAAATTTTTGATAAAAAGGTCTGGGAACCCTGGTGCATGATCTTGAGTATGGTGAGGTGTATGAGCACAGCTGAATGGCAATTTAGATTTCTTTCTATTCTTACTTCACCTAGACTTTATTCACATCACGTGCATGTATTCACATCAGATTAGATTTCTGTGTGTCTTTCTCTGTCACGCACACACATACACACAGTAATCAAACACAGGCTCATTACTCATTAGGTTCTCATTGTCAGCTTTTGTAGTTGTCATATTTTGATATTTAAGTCAGAGTGAGTTAGAGCCTGCAAAAAATGCTGTGTAATACTACTACTACTACTAATAATAATAATAATTTTTATTTATATAGTGCCTTTCCAGTGCTCAAGGTTGCTTTACAGTGAAGATACAATTTGAAAAGAAGAACATCAAACATGACAAACATAAGCACAAGTGAAAAACAAAATATAACACAATGAGAAAACACAGCACAAATGAGAATGGTAACATTCAGAAAACAAAAAGATGTAGGACATAACTTATAAATGATAACATTCAGAGAACAGGTGAGTTTTAAGAAGTGATTTAAATGTAAGAATATTATTGACAGTGGAGAGATGGGAGAAGAGAGTTCCAAAGTTTGGGTGCAGCAACACTGAATGATCCAAAAGCATGGATAATGGTTTCAGCATCTTTAAAACTAATAAAACAGCAGAGCTTGGCAATGAAACATAATTGAAAGGATGCAGACTTGGTAACAGAGTTAATATGGGCTTGAAAGGAGAGAGATGAATCGAAAATAACACCTAGATTTTTAACAGTACAAGATGGTCTAGTACCAGCTATCTCAGAAGAAAAGTCATTAGGAATGCTTCTAGTGAGTGACGGGGTTCCAACAATAATGATCTCGGTTTTGTCCATGTTTAGTTAAATTTTTTTTAGGTTAGCCAGTTTTGTATTTCATGTACACAAGTAGAGATTTTGTCAATTTGGGTGGATAGAGTGGGCCTACATATAGAGTAAATTTGAATGTCATCAGCATATAAGTGGTAATTAAAACCATGTTGGTACAAGATTGGATGCAGAGGTAGTATGTAAATAATGATAATAATAGTGGGCCAAGAACAGATCCCTGGGGGACACCTTGCTTCAAATGGACAGTAGGGGATCGAAAATCCTGCACTGAGATGTAAAACTGTCTGTCAGAGAGATAAGAAGAAAACCTGGAAAGAACAACACCAGAAATACCCACATCAGAGAGGTGGGAAATTAGTAAATCATGAGAAACAGTATCAAAAGCGGAACACATTAATATATTATTAATATATTATATATATAATATATTATTATGTGTACACATTAATATATTATCCTTAATTTTATTCTTATGCTGTATTGTAGATCTGCAATTATTGTTCTTGGTCATTGGGCATCATTTACTCATTTAGCTTTGTCTGAAACCACATTAATATTCTGCATAATTATCTCTTGATAATGCTTAAATATGCAGAGATGAGTTATATAAAGGTAAATAAATAAATATGAATTCAAACAGGAGCTTTTATTATGACCAAAGGCATTACTAAAAAAATAACCTTTTGTAAGAGGATTAGGATATAGTGAAGTTCAAACATTAAGTGGCTTAAGAGATTTTAAAAATATACGTGTTACACACAGGTTGGTTTCTTCACATATGTGAACACAAAAAAATGCCATTTATAGCAGCTGACGCTGTGCTTTACTTCACGATACATTCATTTACAGAGCAGCGCTATGACCTTGAATGTGCTTCATCTCTGGTTGAATTATAGTGTCTGGGGATAAAAGTCTAAAGAAAAGAGAAGAAAGCTCAGAGAAGAAAGGTTGGGCTCAGGTAGGTCAGGGTAATTGTGTTTATCAGTTCATAGACTCTAGCTTTATCCTCTGAATAAAGCTAAGAAAAGGGAATAGCTGAAAAGAGTAAAGTCAGTGTTGTTTCAACATGACAGACTGAAACAGTTTTTAGGTTTTTGGATCCTTTTTAAAGGCCACTGTGATGAACAGCAGAGAATATTGGGTTATGATCTCTCTAATGTCATGCTGAGAGGTACCGGGAATACTTTTTGGCATTTGCTGAAAAGGATGGGGGGAAAACACCTCCCCCCTTCTAATTTTTTTGTAAAAGCAAGCATTTTTGATTTGTATATGCATTGCTGTTGGTGATATCTGACAAAATCCAAGTGAAATGTTTTGCTTCACTTTCAACAGGAAAATCTGATTAATGGGGGTCCTTACATTTATGGCCCTCACGTTTCATCCAGAGTCTTAGGGCTGGGAGGGGGAAAGACACTGACTGAATGTTAAAATGGTCTGGATGTCTAAAAAGCTGTAGGCGATGAGGGGAAAATGTGTGCCTCATTGAAGCTGTTCACCACTCATGACTTTGATACAATAATTTCTTATTCTTTTAAAGGTGAGTCTCTTGAAACTTGGCAAGAATATGTCAAAATCACATTTCACTCCAAAAAGAAAAAATAAGAATATTGTGCATAAAGAAAATTTATCTTATTTTTAGCACCATAAAGATTTGTTTTTATTAAGCGAAGTTATAATTAAGCACATGTTTCCCAGAATTATCATTACCATAATACAAAGCAAATTTTTATGTCTTAGCATATTTAATGTATTTTACACTAGTTATAGATCATGTAAGTTTTATGCTGCTTTTAATGACAAATTTTATTAGTATTAGTATTATATACAGTGTATAATATATTTCAAGAAATCTTATTGATTCTAAAAATAGACTTGTTATTTTATGCTAAATACATTTTTCACTTGTAATTTTGGGGTAAAATGTGAGCTGGACATGTTTTTTGTGAGATTCAACTTTCCACTTCCTTCCACTTTCATCATTCTGATGGGAAATCAACTGGAAAAACACAAAAATTGCACTTTAAATATATCTGAAGCAAATGTATCTGTATGCAGATATTTGCTACTGGTAACACGGAATGAAGGGCTATCTGGACTAATTAGATGACTCAGTCAGCTGTTTCTACATCGGCTGTAAGCAGTGACTGTTTAACATGAGAAAGTGAGTAAATGGATTGGTCGACATAACAACTTTTAACACAGCAGACCATGCATGAGATTAATCTGAGAGGGCAGAGGCTAGAAGAGAGCGCATTGTTTTACGGAGCGATGTGTTTTCTGCTGTCACAGTGTAATCAAAGGCTTCACACTCCCTGGGGATCCTGCTTTTGAAGTTGATGTGATTCATTCTTTGTGTTTTCTTTTCACTGTAGCTTTGTCAGTCTTGATTCTTGTTTCCTCTCTTATTTGCTTGCGGGTTCTCAGCTTGTCGTTCACATGAGTTTAGCCCTATATTCAATTTAAAAGGCATACAACATGATTGGAAGAGCAAAGGCAGGAAGCCGGGCAGCAAAAGTGACAGGTATACTGTGAAAAGGTGTTTTTTTTATTGCAGTCAACATAAATGTACTTACAGGCATCATTAACACATGATTTTCATGTACAGCTGACATCATTTTCGTGACAACAGAAAAGTTTAACATGCAAAATAAAAAGAAGGGTAGGGTCAGAGTACACTACCTTTCAAAAGTTTATTGTCTGCAATTTTTTGAATGTTTTTGAAACCTTTAATGCTTACAAAGTTGCATTTATTTAATGAAAATTACAGTAATATTGACATATATGATTACAATTTAAAGGCCTGTTTTATATTTTAATATATTTCAAAATTTTATTTATTCTTGTGTTGGCAAAGCTGAATTTTCAGCATCCATTACTCCAGTTTTCAGTGTCACATGATTCTTTACAAATCATTCAAATATGCTGATTGGCTGCTCAAGAAATCTTCAATATTAAAAACAATGTGCTGCTTTATATTTTTGTGGAAGCGGTGATTGATATTGAATATAATGATTATTATATTTTATTCTATATCTTTCTATTAATCAAAGAATCCTGAAAAAAATGTATGTGTGTGTGTCTGTGAGTGTGTGTGTGTGTGACTTGTCACTTTTTTAATGCATCCTTGTTGAATAA